CCGGTTGGAGTCTCCCAAGACTCTGTCCTTGGTCCCCTTCTATTTTCTCTTTATACTGCCTCTCTTGGCAAACTTATTACCTCATTTGGTAATAAGTTTGCCAAAATGAGGTAATATCTCTCCTCCCCAGACCTCTCCCCTGCCATCCTGCAATCCTGCAATGCGTCACTGCTTGCCTTTCTTCCATCGCTGACTAAATGTCTTCCCACTTTCTGAAACTCACTCTCTCTAAAACTGAACTCCTTGTCTTTCCTCCTCCTAATACTGATCCCTCCCTTCGCTCTCCCTTCAAGTTAGTGGTATCCATATAAGTCCATCCTTGCAAGCGCGCTGTCTTGGTGTCATACTTGATTCTGGCCTTACCTTTGAGCCTCACATCCAGTATGTTGCCAAATCCTGTAGATTCTATCTTAAAAACTTTCTTTCTTATGCAAGATGCTACCAAGGAGCTTGTCCATGCTCTAGTAATTTCCTGCATGGATTATTGTAACCCTCTCCTAATTGGTCTTCTCAAAAGCCGTATTGCCCCACTATAGTCTGTAATGAATGCTGCCGCTGCTCTCCCCTAGTCTTTAATCGTTAAGAAGTGCCTTAAAACCCATCTCTTTAGGAAAGCGTATGCCCTCCCAGAGTAACCTCTACCTCACTTACTTGTCTCTTGCTCTCTCCTAGAGGGCAGCACTTACTCTCTCCTCCAGCTCTGCTCCACTCCCACCTTATTTGATTGCTATTTCCTGTCCTATTGTGTTTTACACCCCACCTCCTATTGACTGTAAGCTCGTTTGAGCGGGGTCCTCTTCAACCTATCGTTCCTGTAAGTTTTCTTGTAATTGTCCTATTTATAGTTAAATCCCACCTCTCATAATATTGTAAAGCACTACGGAATCTGTTGGCACTATATAAATGGCAATAATAATAATAATAATAGGTTGCTCATGAATCTGTAACATTTCACAATGCTTCATGCTTAGAGAGACAGCATGACTATCTCCAGGAGTGTTGCATGGTCCCAGATTCCCCTCGAGCTTGAGCTCAAAATAAAAATTGATGATCCCCTACACTAACAGAGAGGTGGAGATGTCATGAGATATCACAGCCTCTCTTTGTTACGTCCTACCAATGAGCATTGTGCTACTGATGCATTCCAGAATTTTAATGAAATGTTAGCCAGGAACAAGCATATGCTATACATCCCGGTATTCAATGTGGACTTACCATGCAGCCTAACTCATAGTGGGGTGTGACTCAAACCTTTGCACCCTCTCCCAAAAGGTACAATGGGACACAATTTCCTCCCCCTAAGTAGCTTGGCAGAGAACTATGCTAGTAATTTTCCTTTTTATATCAGACGGTCGCTTTTGAATTAAAACTTAGATGATGTTTTAAAAAACACATATGTTCATGTCCTCTTCACTCCTGTTGAGATTTTGGCCTGAAGAATTAAAACATTAGGGGGCGTTTGTCCTCAAAGCAATGCCTGTGACCATCTATAAGAGCAAACAGAGATTTATGCAACCATTGAAAGCTACTGAGGCCAAAATCCTGAGACCTACACTTAAATCAAGTAAACTTAAATGCAACTTGTATGTTTACCAGCAGATTTCAAGCACTATATATAATTGGAATTTTATTCCCAATTTCCCACAATGTCATAAGGCATCATTTTAATGTGTAACATCTAAGGAGTGTTCGAGCTCTATTCACTAACATAAGGCAAGAAAAGATAAAATCTCAGAGTGTAGTAAATAAAAAATGCCATAGTACCTGGAGGATTGTGATGTTCATTAGCACAACAGGTAGTGTCTCCAAGCTGGTTCTACGTTAAATGATGAATGGACACCTTGAAGGTAATTTTAAACAGTGAAAACCTTACTAATGCTACATTCACTTTTGCCCGAGATTTATCTAGAGGTTTAAGTAATGAAAACTTGAACACCTGTTCAAAGGGTTTTCCAACCTGATGTTATACGCAATGAGCCTTGAGTCATAAACCACCAATATATCCAAGGGTCATGTGACAACTGTAACATCACACCTGAGGAAGGTCATCATCCATGAAAAGGGTCCAAAGCAGGCAGCAAGCAACAAAGGTGTTGAAAAGTCAATACTTAAGCTTCAGCAAAGGAGCAGTCCACAAATTGAGGCAATAATGAAATCAATCTTCTGCATTTGAATCCATTAGAAACCGAATGCATTTCATGTCTAAAGTGCACTAGTTAAAGCGCAAAACATGTTATGTTGTTTGCTCTTTACCCCCTTGCCTTACAGCCTATTTTCTAAATATTTAATGATTCAAATAAAGAAGATTGATTTTATTATTACCTTGAGTTGTGGACTGCCTCTTTGTTGATGGTTCTGCAATTGTTTTTTTTGTTTTTTTTGCCAACTCTTGTGATGTGTTATAATCAGCAAAACAAAGCTGTTTACTGTGTGAGTTATTTGTTTCAACCAGAAAAAATATGTTATTTTGCCTTAATAGGCACTTTCTTAATGGATCTATGTTCCCCCCTTTTTTGGAGTGACAATTAAGCAGTAGCATTACTAGGGTACATGTCACCAAGTGTGATGACTCATAGTGCCACTTTCATGGATCTCCTCCTGTACTAGGCCATATGAGATCCCCAGTGATCTTCTGGTCTGCACCTTTGCTGGGTGCAGATCTTGCAAATTCTTGTTGTGAGTTCTGGCTCTCTAATAGTGTCATTGTTAGTGCTGGAGTTTACAAGAGTGATATTCAAATTTTTCGCCCAACGAAGGTTCAGACTAGAATTTCTCTTGGACCCCATGCATTAGCTGCACTTGGCTGATGAGAGAGATCCTTGATCTCCGTCACGGTCCATGAAGCCTGTGCCCCATGTGCTGGTTTAAAAGGTGTTACCTCATATTGATGTTACCCCCTCTAATGGTGCCACGTTGTGTGGTTCGCTTTCCCTAGTGACACCAGTGGATAAAGGTGTTTGGGATGTCCCAATCAATGAGCAATGCTAAGGCACTGTATACAAAAATTAGCTGCATCGGTATTTCTTGTTTTTTTTTTATAATTACTGATCTTCCAGTTTTGGAAGGTCACAGATTATATCTGAGATAGTCTACTCAGCTTTTCATTCTTCCAAGGTCAATCAAGTAAGGGACATAGAAGGCAGGAAGTGGCCACCATTTTTTTTTATTGCATTAGAAAATGCATGGAAAACATTAAGAAATGAAGTATATACAGGTGATACTCGAAAAATTAGAATATCGTGCAAAAGTTAATTTATTTCAGTAATGCAATGTAAAAGGGAAAACTAATATATGAGATAGGCGAATTACATACAAAGCAAGATAGTTCAAGCCGTGATTTGTCATAAGTGCAATGATTATGGCTCACAGTTCATGAAAATCCCAAATCCACAATCTCAGTAAATTAGAATATTACATGCAATCAATAAAACAAGGAGTGTACATAGAACAATATCGGAAAAGTATAAGCATGCATATGGACTCAGTACGTGGTTTGGGCCCCTTTTGCAGCAATTACTGCCTCAATGCAGTGTGGCATGGAAGCCTGTGGCACTGCTGAGGTGTTAAGGAAGACCAGGATGCTTCAAAAGCGGCCTTCAACTCTTCTGCATTGTTTGGTCTCATGTCTCTCATCTTTCTCTTGGCAATGCCCCATAGATTCTCTATGGGGTTCAGGTCAGGCGAGTTTGCTAGCCAATCAAGCACAGTAATCCCACGGTCAGTGAGCCAGGCTTTGGTGCTTTTTGCAGTGTGGGCAGGTCCCAAGTCCTGCTGGAAAATGAAGTCAGCATCCCCATAAAGCTCGTCTGCGGAAGGAAGCATGAAGTGCTCCAAAATCTCCTGGTAGACAGCTGCGTTGACCCTGGACTTAATGAAGCACAGTGGACCAACACCAGCAGATAACATGGCTCCCCAAATCAACACAGACTGTGGAAACTTCACACTGGACTGCAAGCATCTTGCAGTGTGTGCCTCCCATTCTTCCTCCAGACTCTGGGTCCTTGGTTTCCAAATGAGATGCAAAAGTTGCTCTCATCAGAAAAGAGGACTTTGGACCACTGAGCAACAGACCAGATCTGTGTTTCTTTAGCCCAGGTAAGACGCTTCTGACGTTGTTTGATGTTCAGGAGCAGCTTGACAAGAGGAATACGACATCTGAAGCCCATGTCCAAGATCCGTCTGTGTGTGGTGGCTCTTGATGCACTGACTCCAGCCTCAGTCCACTCCTTGTGAAAGTCCCCAACACATTTGAATGGCCTTTTCCTGACAATCTTCTCCAGGCTGCAGTCATCCCTGCTGCTTGTACACCTTATTTCTTCCACACTTTTCCCTTCCACATAACTTTCTATTAATGTGCTTTGATATAGCCCTTTGGGAACATCCAACTTCCTTCACAATTACCTTTTGAGGCTTTCCCTCCTTATGGAGGGTGTCAATTATGGTTTTCTGCACAAATGTCAGGTCAGCAGTCTTCCCCATGATTGTGATTCCTACTAAACCAGACTGAAAGACTATTTAAAGGCTCAGAAACCCTTTGCAGGTGTTATGGCTTACTTAGCTAATTAAAGTGGGACACTGTGAGCCTAGAATATTGCACCTTTTCACAATATTCTAACTTACTGAGATTGTGAATTTGGGGTTTTCATGAGCTGTAAGCCACAATCATCGCACTCATGACAAATCATGGCTTGAACTATCTTGCTTTGCATGTAATGCGTCTATCTGAAATAAATTAACTTTTGCACGATATTCAAATTTTTCGAGTATCACCTGTAGTTTTAGAGATCCTATACTGTGATGATAATAATAGTAATTCTAGATCATAATGTAAACAATATAGCTAAGTTACTGTTGCAGCTTCAACACAAAGTGGTTTATTTTTTATAGCAGTTTTATTACTGCTCTCATTTAGGCAAAAAATAAATTAAGTTAGTAAAGGTTTCCCTAAATCAATGTTCGATAAACAAGAAAGTAAGTTAGTCAAAATAAATAAAATACATTTAAAAACATTTAAGCATTGGTGAAGTAGTTTCACATTCATCCAGGATTGCCACATAATCCTGATGCTCCTCGGACAGGAGATTTACAACAGTGATTAGCTGAGCTATACTGGCACCTTCACTACCGAGATTGAAGCCCAACACCGGTATGACATGGTACACTGCTCTACTAAAAGCAGAAACACGCAGCTCTACAGATTTTAGCACTCACCTTGCTGCGACTACAGATCCAAGAAGGCAGTGGCGGACCGTATTCCCCTGCCTTGTGCTCAGAGAAAAGTGACTGCATGTCCATCTCCCTCCCAGCATCCATGCCTGCCATAGATTATTTTGTGTACAGGATGCTTCAGGAGCTGAAGACCTATTTAACATAAAGGCTCTGGGGGAAAGAATCTCTCACATAGAGGAAAAACAGAGGAGGTAATAAGTGCTCACAACTCTTTAGTAGATGCTACAAAGTGGATTGGCTGGCTGACCAACAAAGTGGCAGAGATAGGAGAAGCAATGTCCACCTCCGAGGGGTACCTGAAGACATCAAGCCACAGGACTTTAAAGCTATGCAGCAAATTTTACTCACCTCCCGCCTTTCCATCCATTGCCTAAGAAGGCATAAAAATATTATTTAACTGAAGCATTACAAGCTGCCAGCATCACCTATAGATGTGTATTCCCAGTCCTTCTTCTTAGCCCACGGAATGCAGCAGATTGCCGTGTCCATAGGCTGCAGCATGCTAACCAACTGGAATATACATGTGGATCCACCGGATGAATCCGCCAAACAGACAAACCCCCCACCGTTCCCTAGCGAAGATCTCCAAGGACTGGTGTGCCACATCCACAGCTGCTAGACGTGCCTTACTCTGAACAGCCATTCTAGGAGCTGCTCAGTCTTGTTATTGTTACTGTTTTCTAAATAATTTCTGTGAAAGTTTTTACACATTCTATGACGCTTAAAGCCTCTGATTAAACTCTTACCACAGAGTTGACAACATATTAAAATAGTCGGACACCTGTCAATACTTGGATATATATATCTACCTAAAATTACTGGTGTTGACAACCTATTTCCTATTTTAAAATCACCTAAACTGAAAGGACACCAGCCCCCAATACTAATTTAGCCATGTTTTTTCAGTCTAGTCCACACTGTACTGACTTAGATGGATACTGGTACATAATAAGTAATTTTATTTTATTTTTCTGTCTCTTTTTCTACTTTTTTCCTTACATATACCAATGCCTATAGTTGCAGATGTTTGCACACGATGGCACTATTTTCCCCTTCGCTGAATTACAGACCAATTCTTTTGTATTCCAATACCTAAAGTTGAAAAGCGTGCTCTCCACACACGTTCAGAGTTATAGCGACCAAGCAACAAGACATCCAAGGAATGTGAACAAACTCCTCAGTGTGCTGAATGGATACCCATCATAAACGCACTTAAAGGATTCACGAAATGTTAAACACATGTAGAGACACACAGGAAACTCATGTACCGATGGTATTTTAACCCTAATAGGCTGCACAAGATATATTCCAATGCCCTGATATTCTGCAGGATTTGCAGAGTGAGCAAAGGCTCGTTAGCACACATTTTATGGGACTGTCTGGGTATTAAACCCATATAGCGAAATGTAGCAGACCTCCTCTCAGCATTGTACCTGCAAAAATTACCCCATGATCCAACCACCTAACTTTTCATACAATTACCAATACCGTGGCCAAACCGGTTAAAGTTAGCAATACTTATTATTTTGAAAGCACTCCACATAGTAGCTAACAATGGAAAACAAACCAAATGCCACTCATCCGGCAACTCGATAGACAGAATACACCAATACTGCCCCTACAAACTAATATCCGGGGTATCAGTCAAAAATTTGTTGCAGAAACATGGACCTTGTGGACAAAGGTGCACATTAATGCACCAACCCACAGCAGAACATAGTAACTTGTGATATACTACTATAATGTAAAAAAAAATACAATAATAAGCAGTACGTAAGTATGTACATGAGGAAGTAGAAAGGGCAGATTATCCACACCAACACTTCCAATGTGAATTTCGGCTCACAAGCAAATGTATATTGATAAGGCATCGCCCGACGATAATTAATGCAGACTTTTTACTCACTACGTCACATTTTTTTGCTTGTTGATACTACTATCATGTGAACATAGTAATCTCTGGCACCTCTCTGGGTAACACAATAACACCTCTATATGGTCGTTTACAACACACCATGTTGATGCAACATCCCCTCTCTCCTCTCTCTATTTGCATCTCCAAACATCCCCCCCAACTGATCCAGTTAGCAAACAGATGATGTAATTAATTCTGAGAACTTAGTTGCCTGCAAGATGTTAATGCTACTGCATGTTGTTATTGATCATGTATTGTACCACCAGCATATGTATCGCATCTTTTGTAACCATGTTCTGTCTCTGACATCTCAATATCAAATATTGCGACTGTACCCTGTCTACCTTGTTGTGTGTGAAAAAAAATTCAATAAACAATATTGAACAAAAAATAAACATTTAAGTTTTTTACGTATCAAGAAAGTGGAACACACATTATATTTTAATCATTTAAATTTGTTTTATTGCAGTATTTTGAATTTATATATACACAGTTAAATTATACAAGATATTTTTGTACACCAAATTCAACATTTCTGAAAGAATATAAAGTGAACTTTTAAATAAGTAAAACGAGTTCCACTCTGACTGTTAGACATTGGTACCTTAGATATTTGTTAACAGCAATTCTACAATAATCCATCGCTTCCCTGATACATAAACCTTGACTAATTGTTAATAAAAGTCTTCTTTAATTTGAGATATTTTAGAATGTACACATTTCAAATAATTGCATTTTGGTTACTAAAATTATCATTTAAAAACCCTTCTGGATACTATATCTAATAAACAATGTTTCTGTTCCATTCCTTGCAAAGAAATCTGTAAAAAAAGAAAAAAAAGATCAGGTAACTATGGACATGAACATTAAAGAAGTAATTCTTAGAGAATGTTATTGATTATTAAGTTTACTGTTCCATTTGATTTATTGTCAGCAATTTTACCCACTATTTATTGTATTTTGTACCATGATTTTCTATTTTAAGTATGCAGAAAGGTGTAGGCAATACTTTAGTAAGGGGCCCAACCAAGCACAGGAAGGTCTGCGTGATGGATACCTTGCCTTGCAATGTTGGTATCACTTTCTATTGGTGCACAAAGGATGCTACATGGGAGAAAATTTAGCCCTCTAGTTGTTAAATCCCACTCCTCACAAGAAACCAGAGAAGAGACCTACTTTTCCCCAAGAGGTAGACCAAGAGGAAAGTGCCTAAACACAACAAGTATGTATGTATATATTTGTTTTAGTGTGCATCCGGTTGTGTCTATGTTTGTTTGTGTGAGTTTAGAAGTATGTATGTCTGTGTATTTCTGGCAGTGTGTCTGGTGTGTTTGGCTATGTTTATCTGAATGTGTATACTTGTTATTGTCTATCTTTGCCCACATCGTGAAGGAGGAGGATTTGGCCAGAACAACATGTAGATTATATATATACCTACTAGAGGGGAAATTTGTTATCCAAGTGTTTTGTAAATTGAGGATCAAATTTAAATAAGTTTAAGTATAGCTACCTGTAGCTCAGGAAGAGTGATCCAACAACATTGTACTATTGGATTGCACATTTAATGTAATATTGTATTGCACACTGTACAGAGGCATCTGCTTCACATTCATCCAGCAACTGACCACCATTATTAGCCCTTTACAAACAGCCACCTACCTACACTCAGTCTTATTCATAAAGTCAACTACCGCACCAGTTATTCCTACAGTGAGGTAAAAAAGTATTTGATCCCCTGTTGATTTTAAACATTTGCCCACTGACAAAGGAATTATAAGTCTATAGTTTTAATGGTAGGTATATTTTAACAGTGAGAGACAGAATTTTTTTTTCCAGAAATACGCATGTCAAAAAAGTTATAAATTGATTTGCAAGTCAATGAGTGAAATAAGGAATTGATCCCCTATCAATCAGCAAGATTTCTGGTTACCAGGTGTCTTTTATACAGGTAACGAGCCGAGATTAGGAGCACTCTCTTACAGGGAGCCACAGAAGCAATCAATCAGATTCCAAACTCTCCACAATGGCCAAGACCAAAGAGCTGTCCAAGGATGTCAGGGACAAGATATTTGAAATATCTGAAATAGGCTACAAGACCATCTCCAAGCAGCTTGGTGAGAAGGTGACAACAGTTGGTGTGATTATTCGCAAATTGAAGAAACACAAAATAACTGTCAGTCTCCCTCGGTCTGGTGATCCATGCAAGATCTCACCTCGTGGAGTTTCAATGATCATGAGAACAGTGAGAAATCAGCCCAGAACTACACAGAAAGATCTTGTTAATGATCTCGAGGTAGCTGGGACCATAGTCACTGTGACAGAACCATCTGTCTGCTGGATTTTTTGCCCGTTCGTCTGTTTGTCCCCGTTCGTATGAATGGCTGGTTTCTATAGCCCAGCCATTCGAATGACTCTTTTTCCCCGAACAAATCTGCCGAACGAACGGCCACCCAAGTGAGGAGTGTGCTGCAGGTTAACGAAGTGATCACCATTATAACGTTGTGGTTAACCGCAGACACTTCTCAATTAAACCGAACTCAGGGTGGTCGTCGTTCGTATGTCGACCACGAGGCAGCGGCCATTTTAAATCATGCGAACGCTCAGCGGTGTTTGGCTCTATTTCTATGGAACGGAAAACGGACACTTTTTCTGTCGAACACCGCTGAAACAAGGGAACGCCTGGCTGCCTCCACGAAAGCATGCGAACACCGGCCGTTCGGGAGATTGAGAGCATACAAAAGACTTAACCCAGATAGCCCACCCATGGAGTCATTCGTATACCGAAAGGACTGTAAGAACTTTGACTCCATGGCGATTGAACTATGTGTGTGGGATCTGAGCGCTATTCGCCAATAATATGCACTCAGATCCAGGCTATCTGGGGACATGTAATACGAATGGGAAATGTTCAGTTTTCATGTAGTTATGCATTTTTATGTCTTTTATTATTTCATGTTTAAGATGGCGACTGTCCTTGTCCTGGAGTTAATTGAGTTACTTGGTAATTAACTCCAGGATAGAGGGGAGGGAATCAGAATGCACTGTGGGTAAAATATGTGACTGTGTGTCTGAAATGTCCTTCTATCTGTCTGTAATTTAAGTCTTCCATTTGGTCCCCTAGGGGAGTGTCCACCAAGTGGGAGACCTGCATAAATACGGGCAGGTAGCCCACAGTAAACCCAGATCTTATTTGACCCTCAATGCGGAGCTTCTGTCTCGTTATTGGGGGGGGATTTCTTCTTCACGGTTAGAGACTGCTGGATGGAACGAAAGCCGCTTTGGGGATATTATTGTTCGACGGTTCCTAGCAGTTCGTATATTGCCGTTCGGGAGTTTGGATCCGTTCGTGGATTTCGATCGGGAGATTGTCGCTTCCCCTGCATTACGTTCGTGGATTATAGAGTAAGCGAACAGAGACGGTACTGCAGCCGGGGAAGGTTTACTAAACGGCGGTTTGATTAAAGACACGGGAGGTGTCTTAACAATTGGTGGCAAGCGACGGGATGAATCCTACAGCATTGGAGGTCAGCTACGAGACATGCAGTACGAGGAATTAAGGCGTGCTACACTTAAGGACATATTGGAACGCCGAGGAAGGTCAGCAAGCAATTTAAAGAAACGGGAGATTATTGCTTTGCTACTGGAGATGGATGCAGAAACGGGAATGGAAAGAGTCAACGTGCCCAGTACCTTGGATTTAACACCCGAGGAAATACGATTCAACCGGGCAGTACAAATAAGGCTGGCACATTTTGGCCCCAACCCCTCAGCTGACATCGTGGTTCGTGTGCAGGCAGCAGTTGCAACACAACAGGCAGCCCGGGAAAGAGGAGCTGCAGCAGCAGAGGTACCGTATGACAATAATGTGGTTGCTAGAAAAAAGGTACCTTTTGCTGCGTTTAAAAATTTTGTGGAAACAGAGGGAGAGATTGATGGATTTTTGGCAGACTTTGAGAGGCAGTGTGCGCTACATCAGGTACCTGCAGATGAATGGGTCACCATCCTCTCTGGGAAATTATCTGGCCGGGCTAGTGAAGCTTTTCGGGCCATCCCAGAGGAGGAGATCACCAGCTACCGGGCTGTGAAAGAGGCGCTCCTAGCCAGGTATGCAGTGACCCCAGAGGCGTACAGGCGGAGGTTTAGAGAAACCAACAAGCTGGTTGGGGACTCTTATGTGGAATGGGCCTGCAGAGTCCATCGTACCGCAGCCCACTGGATGGCTGGATGCCAAGCGGTAACTGGGGAGGAGGTGTTACAAGTGTTCCTGCTGGAGCACTGCTTTGATAGACTACCTGCTGGGGTCCGGGAATGGGTCAGAGACAGAAAACCCTCTACCCTACCCGAGGCTGCCCGTCTGGCAGACGAATACACGGATGCCCGCAAGTTGGATGGTACAGCTGCTAAGGCCCCTGCCAGACTGGAGTATCGACCAGCAGTAACACCCGCTCCTGCAGTCTACCAACCCCCAGTACACCGTACCCCAGCCGCACCACCAGCTAACAATTATATGCAACCAGCCCGATTTAATGCCCGGGAGTACTCCCAACCCATCCGGTGCTATGGGTGCAAGCAGTTGGGGCACAAGCGTCCTGAGTGCCCCCTGAACAGTGCCAACCAGGCTCAGTCCTGGAGGAGACCAGTTAATGGAAACCAGCGCCCACCTCAGCCTGCTGCTCACTGCCTAGAGCAGGAGGAATTTTGGGGCATTCTGCACGAGGCAGATCCAGTGCAAGCAGCTCACCAGGATAATCGCCAGCAACATCGGCAAACTGTGAAGCTAAATGGCAGAGTGGTGAATGGGCTGAGAGACACAGGAGCCACGATGACACTGCTCCAAAAGAACTTGGTCTCAGAGCATCAGCACACTGGGGACACTGTGGCGGTAAGGGTAGCAGGGGGTGCCGTGTTTCGCTTACCTGTTGCCCGAGTACATTTGGATTGGGGAGTGGGCGCTAGGCATGTGGATGTGGGGGTGATGAAGGACCTGCCCGCAGATGTTCTTTTGGGAAACGATTTGGCCCCTTTGGTTTCAGCCTATGCTCCGATGGGCCCTGCAGACGTGAACCCAGTGACCACCCGTGCCCAGACCCGTGCTGCCGGAACCAGCCCACTTGCTGACGAGACCCAGGTAAGATCTCCTTCCCCGACTGGTACCCCAGATCAGGTCCCCTTAAGCTGGGATTCCCCAGAGGAGTTTGGGAGGGAAACCCGGGCAGATCCGACCCTCCAAAGATACAAGGACAGGGCAGATGCTGGGGAGGAAGGAATAGATGGGGAACGGTATGAGTGGGTGGGGGACAGGTTATATAGGATCCCTAAACCTTCCCAGAAGAGTGTTGCCTCTCCGCCGAATCGCCAGTTAGTGGTACCTGCAAAGTACCGGCAGGAGATTCTGCGGATAGGGCATGATGTTCCTTTAGCTGGACATCTAGGGTCCCGCCGCACAGCCTATAGGATTTCACAGAACTTCTTTTGGCCAAACTTTAACCAGGCTGTGCGGATGTACTGCAGCACGTGTGACACATGTCAACGGGTAGGAAAGCGGGGGGACCACCCTAAGGCTAGGCTATTATCGATGCCTATTATAGGGGAGCCCTTTGCCCGCATAGCCGTTGACATTGTGGGTCCACTGGCCAGGGCTAGTCCATCCGGTAAGAAGTATGTTCTTACCGTGGTGGACTATGCCACCCGCTATCCAGAGGCAGTAGCGCTGTCTAACATAGAGGCAGAGACGGTTGCTGATGCCCTGGTTAGAATTTTTACTAGGGTCGGGTTCCCTAAGGAGATCCTCTCCGACCAGGGAACCCAATTCACCGCTGTGCTCACCCAGCAACTGTGGAAGGTGTGCGGCATTAAGCC